CATTATCATCATTATAGAAGGCCAAATAATAAACTGCCCTCATAAAAACACGCACCTAGCGGGCCGATAATGATTTTGGCGGGCTGCAAATCTTTTCGTATCAGCCCTGTCGCTGATTGGCCCAACGAGGGTCTTACGATCGTGCTCGACCAATCAGATTTCATTGTGATAACAATTTGAAAGCGCGCGAGTTGTTCTTCGCTGCGACTCAAGTTTGAGTTTTTGAAACGATTTATCACTCAAAAATATGGCAGAATATCCTAATTTCGACCTGGAAGTAGCGAATAATCAAGGTTCTGACTTAGGCCAAGAGCAGCTTGACGTAATAGAAGCTCAAGCTCAAGCCAAAAACACAAAGAGAGCAACTGAATGGGGCTTGAAAAAGTTTTTCAAGTGGAGTGAAAAACGACAAATCAGTGTTGACTTGAAAACTATTGCTCCAAAAGAACTTAACGAAGTTCTAAGGAAATTTTACGCAGAGGTTAAAACAGAAAAAGGACAGCCCCTGACCCCAAGTGCATTGACAGGAATAAGAGCAGCCATACATCGCCATTTAACATCGGCTCCGCTAAGACAGCGCCTTCATGTCTGCTAACAAAATGTTTGAAGCGAAAGCAAAGCTGTTCACGAAAGAAATGAATGTAAAACCAAATCATAAACAATCTATCGATTCTGGAGACATGGAATTTATTGAATAAAGTTGAGTGAAATTCATTTATTTGTTGATGATAATGAGAATAACATGACTTTTGTCGGTCATATTGTTTATTTGCGTCCCTTGTAGCGTCATTTGCACCCTCGCTTCGCTCGGGCGCAAATGACGCTACTCGGGCCGCAAATAAACAATATGCCCTTCAAAAGTCATGTTATTGTCCTATTCATCAAAATCTGCGTTTGAAGAACCTCAGGGTACACTGTTCATCTCAGTTTGTAGCGTCAAAATGTTCTCCTAGCAAAACGTCCACTTGGTTCGCACTTTGATAGAACGTCCTCATTTCGAYGTTTTTATTTTGTCAAATGCACTGCAGATTTTTAAACAGCCCTCTTTTGAAGACCCGGTACAACAAACTTCTATGCACGATCGAAATGCATCATGGGAAGACGGAAAATTTGGACATAAATCGTGCATTCTTGTTTTAAGAATTGTTTTTATAAGTGTGAGCTCTCCTGCACCTACAGGCAAAATATCGGGCCAATTGCATTATTTGGTTGTCAAATTTATTGCAAAATTACCTTTGTTAGGTTGGAAAATCTGACACACATGGACCAGGAAAGCCTAAGGGCTCCTGTGGCAACAAAAAGCTCAAAATAAAAACACTTATAAACGGTTTTTAGGTAAATGTAGGCTCAACCGGTCGATAAACAAACGGTCTGACCTAAATTTACAAACGATTTTGACACTTAAACTGAAGACGATTCCCACCCTTATCCGGTGCACCACAAAGTCGACATTTAGTCATTCCTTTTCTTAAAGGGTCCTTTTTTCCCAGATGTCGTGCTAGATGTTAAATAATTTCAGCTCTAAGATAGAGTTTCATTACTAGCTGTTGTCATGTGGTACTTTTGGTGGTCTTAATTTGCAATCTCGGAGACTTGCAATTTTTTTAGAAACATAGGTCGCGGGCGTCCTATAATCCCTATAGCGGAGCGTTAAAGGATAAAATGGCAAATGTCAATTGTCGAACGTGATTGCATGACTGAAAGCAGCCATAACAACTGATTTATACTATTAGATAGTCTGTTGTGAACATTGGCTCCATTAAGTCCGCACTCTCCAATTCTATGCAAGGTGAATCCAATAAGTGAAATTTTGTTTATCAAAACAGTTTAATCATAGTCCCTTTCGGTCGTGCATTCTCCTTTGGACAATCACCGTTCTCCCCGACAACGTTTTTTGAAATAGGTGTATACATCTTGAGAGCTTAAATAGCTCACGTTTGAGGTCACATTTTGAAATCACTAGCAAATCTAGAAATCTGATTAATCTGATTTTTTCCACAGGTGACGTTATTTTACCTACAACTACTTTTTTGACATCGGTACAACCAACACTAGAAATAACAGCAAGTTCAGGTTTTGAACATTTTTGATTCAGGATTATCCTCCAATGACCACAGATGCTTTATTTATTAACGTTATTTTCTGCATCAGAAAGTTTTCAGGGATGTCAGGGCTGTCAGGTGTCTGTTATAGTCCTTGGTGTGCTATTTGGTGTGTCACTGATTTTCAATGTCATCTTCGTTGGTTGTTTTATTTGGAGCCATCTTACAGGTAAAACACACAAGTTAATGAAATAAACGCTTTTGAGCGACTCAACTCATTATGCCAAGTGTAGTACCCCAAATGGGTAGTACTATAATAGATACCAAACTCTTGTGTAGGCGGACATGACAAGGTAAGATTTTTACCACTAAAAGTAATATATACGATAAAATATTGTCTTTTCATACACTATAAGACTTGACGTTTCTAACTGGAGTCGTGTCAAACATTGCCTAAGCTGATCAATTTAAGATCATTAGCACAAACTAATTATGTGATGGATTAGTCGTGTAAAGCAGGCATCATAATAACGTGTTAAGCTTCCAAATGATGACTTTTGATATTTGTATTTCAACAGAAAAGAAAAGACAAACGAAGAAAAGGTACAACATTCACTGATTTCTGCTATTCAGGGGCCGTTTACGTAAACTAGGATTATTCTAGTTAGTAGGGCAAACGGCGTTTTTACACTATTTCCATGCATTACTATGTATTACTAAGTGCATCATTGATATACATATACGATATATATTTTACGGTTTCGTTTCAGTGAAAATACAGATGACGAAGCTGAACACATGGTGAGAGTATTTGTTTGTGATTACTATGACGTCATATCTCATATTGATATCATGTGATGTCATTATGAACATTTTGCACTCTGAAAGAACCCTCCTAATCACGAATGACAGATAGTGCCCTTGCTGAGAGATCATTTCAGTCTTCAATTTAGTCATTCGTAGATAAAACGCTTTTCAGGGTTCAGAAGCATAGTTCGGATATGGGTTGTGCGCTTTTATATAATAACAAATATTTCACTATATTTCTCTTCTTTTTATCAAAATATTCGATCTCAAAGTGGGCTGTCATATTGCGTTATGCTGTTTAAGTTAGGAAAGACATATTTTCCGTCGCTTCCTGATTGACCGCTACAGATGTCTTTAAAGGTGTTACAGATTGATTGCATTCATACCATAGTGTATTATAATTATACAAACTAACAATTCTTCAGAATACGTTTGCGGTTCAAGAACAACCAACCAGTCCTGATGAACAGAATGTGGTGCAATACGAACTTGTTGGCAACTGTAGAGAACAAGAACCTGCTAACACGACCATGTACCAGTCGGTCAGCCCTCACACAGATACTTACAGCTCACTTAGTCCAAGCACTAAGCTACCTCCTAAGCCTGCAGGCATCACGACCAGTGGTATCTACCAAGACATTCCAGCTACTTCTCAACAGTACCAGTCTCTCGACAGCTTTAGCCGAGTCTAGACTGACTTGTTAATTTGATGTACATTTTGTTCTTTTTAACTTTACTTCATGCCAATGAATCTTGGATCAGTATGTGTTTATCATACTTGAACCGGCTATCACCTAGCACTTACAATATTTATATTCTCAATGCTTTGCAACAATAATAACTATCAACTCGTTAGATACGTACTGTAATTATTGAGCTCGTTTACTTAAAATCAATCACACAGAATATGGAGTTAATAGCTATATGAGGGATTAATCCTGAAAGCCATATTTAAAAATACGCAGTCATCGTTAATGACTGCATGTGGCTAGTGCTTGGAAATGACTGATCCAATTTATTTGTGATTCTAACACTGCAGTTGAAAGAGGGGTTTGTTGCTCTAGCAGTCTTTCTGGGTACACCAGGGGTTGTACACACACCTATTCTCGTACCCAGACCCTTCTCAGCTTCCCAATTTCCCCTTTTGTATCTCTGGTCACCATTTTTTTGGAGTGCTCCCCCTCCTGACTGCCCTACAGCCCCACCCTTCCTTTGTTTTTTGTTTTTTTTTTGTATGTATTTAAGAAATCATAAAAACAATATTACTACATATCAAGTTGAAATAATAAATTTATTTAATACGCTGGGAGAAAAATAATATACTGGTAATGAAACCATACAAATGCTGGATATTATTTTTGCATACTATTGGATAATCTTAACTCAAACTCATTATTGCAACTTACT